AATGCATTTAGGCATCTAGATATGGTGAAGGAGACTTGTCGAAGTTCAAACCGAGCATAAGAATGGGGAAGAAAGGGAATTTAAGTGACTTTCAACTTGGCATAGTTGTTGGTGCCAGACGGGCTGGTCTGAGTATTTAAAAAACTGCTGATCTACTGGGATTTTCACACACAACCATCTCTAGGGTTTACAGAGAATGGTTCAAAAAAAGATAAAATATCCAGTGAGCGACAGTTGTGTGGACGAAAATGCCTTATTGATGTCAGAGGTCAGAAAATGGGCAGACTGGTTCGAGATGACTGAAAGGTAACAGTAACTCAAATAACCATTCGTTACAACCAAGTTACGCAGAATACCATCTCTAAACGCACAACACGTTGAACCTTCAAGCAGATGGGCTACAGCAATAGAAGACTACACCCGGTGCAACTGCTGTCAGCTAAGATCAGGAAATGAAGGCTACAATTCGCACAGGCTCACTAAAATTGGATAATAAAAGATTAGAAAAACATTGCCTGGTCTGAAGAGTCTTGATTTCAGCTGCGGCATTCAGATGGTTGGGTCAAAATTTGGCGTAAACAACATGAAAGCATGGATCCATCCTGCCTTGTATTAACGGGTTAGACTGGTGGTGGTGGTGGTGTAATTTTGGTGGGGGATATTTTCTTGGCACACTTTGAGCCCTTAAGTACCAATAGAGCATCGTTTAAATGATCACAAAAGCTCAGATCATCTCAAACTGGTTTCTTGAACATGACAATGAGTTCACTGTACTCCAACGGCCCCCACATTCACCAAATCTCAATCCAATACAGCATCTTTGGGATCTGGTGGAACAGAAGATTTGTGTCATGAACGTGCAGCCAAAAAATCTGTAGAAGCTGCGTGATGCAATTATGTCATGGACCAAAATCTCTGAGGAATGTTTCCAACACCATATTGAATTTATACTATGAAGAATTAAGACAGTTCTGAAGGCAAAAGGTGGTCCAACCCGGTACTAGCAAGGTATACCCTATAAAGTGGCTGGTGAGTGTATAGCTGTTGTCACTTTTCTATGTTTCTATGTAACTGGTCATTCACAATTCCCAGCACGAGCAGTGCTATTCTTACTGAGATATCCTTCACCACAGCATCATCATCAGTGGGATGATGTCGCCTCCTGTCCAGCCCGCCCGTCACAGCATTTTTTTTTGTGCTGATGTCTTAACCCCCTGAAGACATCAGCACAATGAAACCCCCACATCGGGGAGAGGTGAACAGGAGGTGACCCCATTGATGTAAAGGAGTACTGTGATGTAGGGGAACTGTGACGTAAGGGTGTCTCTGGTCACCAGAGCCCTCACCTTAAAAAAGAGTCCACAGAGTTCCCCCTTACAGTGGGGATCGAAAGTTTGGGCACCCCAGCTAAAAATTTGTATTAATGTGCATAAAGAAGCCAAGGAAAGATGGAAAAATCTCCAAAAGGCATCAAATTACAGATTAGACATTCTTATAATATGTCAACAAAAGTTAGATTTTATTTCCATCATTTACACTTTCAAAATAACAGAAAACAAAAAAATGGCATCTGCAAAAGTTTGGGCACCCTGCAGAATTTATAGCATGCACTGCCCCCTTTGCAAGCTGAGACCTGCCAGTGTCATGGATTGTTCTCAATCATTGTCTGGGAAGACCAGGTGATGTCAATCTCAAAGGTTTTAAATGCCCAGACTCATCTGACCTTGCCCCAACAATCAGCACCATGGGTTCTTCTAAGCAGTTGTCTAGAACTGAAACTGAAAATAGTTGACGCTCACAAAGGCTATAAGAAGATAGCAAAGCGTTTTCAGATGTCAATATCCTCTGTTCGGAATGGAATTAAGAAATGGCAGTCATCAGGAACAGTGGAAGTTAAAGCAACATCTGGAAGACCAAGAAAAATATCAGACAGAACAGCTTGCAGGATTGTGAGAAATACAATTCAAAACCCACGTTTGACTGCACGATCCCTCCAGAAAGATCTGGCAGACACTGGAGTTGTGGTACACTATTCCACTATAAAGAGATACTTGTACAAATATGGTCTTCATGGAAGAGTCATCAGAAAAAAACCTCTTCTACATGCTCACCACAAAAATCATCGTTTGAACTTTGCAAATGAACATATAGACAAGCCTGATGCATTTTGGAAACAAGTTCTGTGGACCGATGAGGTTAAAATTGAACTTTTTGGCCGGAATGAGCAAAGGTACGTTTGGAGAAGAAGGGGCACAGAATTTAATGAAAAGAACCTCTGTCAAACTGTTAAGCATGGGGTTGGATCAATCATGCTTTGGGGTTGTGTTGCAGCCAGTGGCACAGGGAACATCTCACGAGTAGAAGGAAAAATGGATTCAATAAAATTTCAGCAAATTTTGGATGGTAACTTGATGCCATCTGTGAAAAAGCTGAAGTTGAAGAGAGGATGGCTTCTACAAATGGATAATGATCCTAAACACACCTCAAAATCCATGGGGGATTACATCAAGAGGTGTAAACTGAAGGTTTTGCCATGGCCTTCACAATCTCCTGACCTCAACATAATTGAAAGTCTATGGATAGACCTTAAAAGAGCAGTGTGTGACAGACAGCCCAGAAATCTCAAAGAACTGGAAGACTTTTGTAAGGAAGAATGGGCAAAGATACCTCAAACAAGAATCGAAAGACTCTTGACTGGCTACAAAAAGCGTTTACAAGCTGTGATACTTGCCAAAGGGGGCAGTACAAGATATTAACTCTGCAGGGTGCCCAAACTTTTGCAGACGCCATTTTTTTGTTTTCTGTTATTTTGAAAGTGTAAATGATGGAAATAAAATCTAAGTTTTGTTGACATATTATAAGAATGTCTAATCTGTAATTTGATGCCTTTTGGAGATTTTTCCATCTTTCCTTGGCTTCTTTATGCACATTAATACAAATTTTTAGCTGGGGTGCCCAAACTTTCAATCCCCACTGTACATCAGAGTCTGCAGGATTCCTTCTCAGAGTGCAAGGGGGAACTCGGCAGACCCTGATGTAAAGGGGAACTCTGATGTAAAGGGTAATGCTGCGGACCATGATTTAAGAAGAGGGAATGCTGTGGTTTAAAGGAGTACTCTGATGTAAGGTGGTCACCAGAGCCCCCCCCCCCTTACATCAGGGTCTTTTGCAGTAAATGTTGTATTAAAATAAATTTTAGTGCATACAAACACAATATAATCAGCAATTGTATTCTACAGTAAATATGGCAAGCACCAAAATTGATTGCACCTGGGAAATTAAAAAAAAAAACTAAAGCTGGATTTGGGGAAGCTGTATGGAGTTAGTTCACTTCTTCATTTTTTCAGAAAAGGTGAACTAACCCTTTAATCAAAAGTATTTAGATCATCAGTCATAAGGGGGTGATTCTGACATGAGGAATCAAAGCTCTGACCATGTTTCTGTGCCAAGACGGCTTCCGACATATGGAGACAAAATGCAGCACAAGGCATGGTAATCCGGTAACAGGGAAAAGATCAGCTAAGGATACAGGTATACTGGTAACTAGTTTTGCTTTCTGCTTGCTTTTCGGGCACAGCTTCCATAGTTCAAGCATTCAACCTACATAAACTATTTAAATATTTGTATCCAATCAGGCAGGCCCTTGAACTACATATTTGTTAGTGGAGATTGCACAATACAAATGTAATATGTATGGTGAGCCTTACAGCTCGTACACACGATCAGCAAATCGTACAAAAAATACCACTTTCGAATCAATTGTACAATAATCTGATCGTTAATACACAGCTTTTGAAAGCTAATCAGGACAGGCCGAGAAAAATTATCCAAAGGGACAAGCACAAAATGTTTTCTCGTACGATAGCGGAAGGTACAAATTTTGTTTAATCAATACAGTTTTCGTCCAAAAATACAATACTAATACAATACAATACATTCCATTACATCACTTCAAAATTTTTATTCTATCATACAAGTTTTTTCATAACTTTAGTAACCTTTTCATTTTTGATATGGACACTAGCATGCTAGAAAAAAAAAATGGACAATCATTCATCCAATAATCTCATTGTGTGTACCGGGCTTAAGGCTTAAGTCACAAGGGCAACATAACAGGAAGACAAATATTTACAGCCAAATATTTACAGTCCAATGAGATTTGAAAATTACATTCACATGGCTAAACTAAAAATCCTTATCCTTGTGTTAAAGCAGAACTAAACCCTCTTATCCCTTTCAACCAAGGAAGCTGCCATCTTGGCTTCTGTTTGACCTGCAACTGCCATGGTGCTGCACATGTGATCAGCTATGACACCGGCCATTTGACAAATGTGACAGTTAGCACTCCCTGCATGTCGGGAATTTAACTGTTTTTGAAACTGTTAAATCAATGGGTTATGTTTTGGTTTAACCACTTGCCTACCGGGCACTTTCACCCCCATCCTGCCCAGGCCAATTTTCAGCTTTCAGTGCTGTCGCACTTGAGTGACAATTGTGCGATCATGCAAACAAAATTTTGCATAATTTCTTTTGAGACAGATAGGGCTTTCTTTTGGTGTTATTTAATAACGGGGGGGGGGGGTGTGTATTTTTGCTAAACTAAAAAACAATGAAAATTTTGAAAAAAAAAATTTTTTTTTTCTTAGTTTCTATTATAATATTTTGTAAATAAGTAGTTTTTTCTCTCTTTCACTGATGTGTGCTAATGAGGCTGCAGTGATGGACACTGATAGGCTGCACTGATGGGCACTGATAGGCGGCACTGATGAGGAGGCACTGAGGGGCATTGACTGGCATCACTGGTGGGCACTGACGGGCATCAATAATGGGCACTGAAAGGCAGCACTCATCTATGGCACTGATAGGTGGCACTGATGGGTGGCCCTGACTGGCACTGATAGGCGGCACTGATTGGAACTGTTAGGAAGCACTGATGAACACTGATAGGCAGCACTGACTGGCACTGACAGGTGGCACTGATTGGCGGCACTGATGGGCAGCACTGACTGGCACTGATAGGCAACACTGACTGGCACTGATAGGTGGCACTGAAAGGCAGCTCTGATATGTGGCATTCATGTGCACTGGCGGGCACTGGTATTGTGACATTGATGGGCATGACAGGTGGCAATTATGGGCACTGACAGGTGGCACTGATGGGGCTGCACTGATAATTAGGACACTAATGATCAGTGTACATGTCCCCTCTGAGGAATGCCGCTTACCAGATTTCCTCTTCTCACATGCTGTCAGCGTGAGGAGAGGACTGCCGATAACTGGCATTTACATGTAATCAGCTGTGATTGGATACAGCTGATCACATGATAGAGCCTACGTCATCGGCTCTTTACTGCGATAGCTGTGCCGTGTGCCCCCGGGGGCGCCCATGTGCAACTACAGTGGGAGAACGTCATATAACATCCTCCTAGAACGAGAGAACCGCCGCCCTCCCATCATTTCCTTATATGGAGGGCAGGAAGCAGTTACAGCATTGTGAATTGAGCATATTGTCTAATATGCCTGTATTTATTCCCAACTCCGAGAAACAATAAAATGATCCCTTTCTGAAGGGCTGCGCCTGCACTGCGAGGATTAACTGCTGGTTTTGTCTAAGAGAGAAGAGAAATGCCTTTACTTATCTGATCCTCTGCTCCTCCAGCTGACGGTGCTCTCCAATGCTCCAGCATGGACATTTTTCAACATCCTCATGTCCAGTGCATGGCTATAGTTACACAGTTAGTCTGGCTGAAAAAAGACAAAAGTCTATCTAGTTTAAGCATAAAAAAGTTATAATCCTCAATGTACTGTTTAATTGGGCAACTATGTGGCAAATGAGGTTTAATGTTGATAAATATAAGGTTATGCACTTGGGGGCTAAGAATATGCATGCATCATACATACTGGGGGGGGGGGGGGTACAACTGGGGGAATCAATGGTGGAGAAGGATCTGGGAGTTCTGGTAGATCTTAATAATGGCATGTAATGCTAAGCAAGTGTCTAAAGTGAGCAAAATCCTCTCTTGTATTAAAAGAGGTATAGACTCCAGAGAGAGAGAGTTATCATTTTACCCCTGTACAAATCATTAGTAAGACCTCATTGGGGAACTGGAGAAAGTACAGAGAAGGGCAACTAAACTGATAAGAGACATGGAGGAGCTCAGCTATGAGGAAAGATTAGAGGAACTGAATTTATTATCTCTGGAGAAGAGGAGATTAAGAGGGGATATGATCAACATGTATAAATACATCAGTGGTTCATATAGTGAACTTGGTGTAGAGTTATTCACCCTAAGGTCATCACAGAGGATAAGGGGGTACACTTTACATCTGGAGGAAAAGAAATTTAATCTCCAAACATGGAAAGGTTTCTTCACAGTAAGAGCTGTGAAATTGTGGAATAGAGTCCCTCAAGAGTTGGTTCTGGGCCAGCTTAGTGGATTGCTTTAAAAAGGGCCTGGATTCTTTCTTGGATACACAGAATATAACTGGTTACTATTTATAGGTAAAGTTGATCCAAGGAATATCCGATTGCATCTCGGAGGATTAGGAAATAATTTTTTCCCCTGCAGAGGCAAATAGAATCATACTTTGCTGTTTTTTTTGCCTTTTTTTAATGCTTGAACTGGATGGACTTTTGTCTTTTTTTCAGACAGACTAACTATGACTATGAACATCAACTGTATCCACAGTTTACCCAGAGGAAGGCAAAAAGCATGGTCCCATTTGCTACTGCAGGGGAAAAATTGATCCCTCAAGAGGCATTTGGATATTCCCTAGATCAACTTTGGACCCTGCACTGGTCTCAATGATGTCAGGGCCTTAGACGCTGAAGAGGAGAGGAGGATAGAGTAAGTAAATCGGATTTTCTGTATGCCCTAGACCTAAACAGGCACAATCCCACTGCTAGTAATAGTTTTTAGATTCCCAAAGTTGGGCTTTAGATGTGTTTTCTTTAGAGCTTTTTAGCGGGAACATGAGAGGAATGCAGTTCTGGCACCTCCATCACTGAATGAATGCATTAGCAAAGGGGTGCTGGGGTGCACTGGAGGGTCTATTGATGCTGGCTGCTGTGAGATCTATTAATGCTGGAGGGTGTATTGTTGCTGTGGAGGTCTATTGTTGCTGGTAGGGGATCTATTATTGCTAGGGACAGATCTTATGTTGCTGGGGGGGTCAATTGTTGCTGGGAGGGATCTACTGTTATGGGAGGGATCTATTGTTGCTGCTGCTGGAGGACCTATTGATGCTGGGGGTCCATTACTGCTGGTTACAGGGCATCTATTTTACTATTTTTCTTGTTATCATTAACAAATTCCATACAAATTATTTAGCACCACAAAATAATACTTGTTTCTGTATTCTCTAAATGGGTGGTACTGAGAGGTGGGTAGGGCGTGGAACCAAGGAGCAGAGCTCGGAGGTGGGTAGGGGTGGAGACAAGGGGTGACCTGCACCTATTCTCTGAGAAAAAAAGCTCTGGTTCTCTTGCACTAACCATTTTGCAATATAACATATTTCAGGATTACAGAATGAATGTCTGTGCAGATATTTGTTCTTAAGATCCGGGATCCTGACTTGTTATGTTTCTTGGTGGCTGATGGATGTACGTTTTTTTTGCCTCTGAATGTTCATGTGGCCATATGCTTGTTGTTTCCCATTCACCGCATGTAATGCCTGTGAATACTTCTGTGTGGGCGACCTTACGGTGAATGCATTTCTGAGCTTGCAGTTCAGTGACAAGCTTTCCGAGGGTCTGCAATCACGAAGTATAATTATACACAAGCTTACCAGGGTGAACAATGGCAGTTTAGAAACGCACAGCTGCCCTCCCCCTGTCCTCTGTTCAGCACACTGTAATGACAACAAGATGATTCAGCTTCCAACCAGAATTCTTGATTAACTCACCATGGAGACAGAGCATGGCAGATACTACACACATGCCAGAAGCATAGAAAAAAGATTTGCTATACTACACCCACTCACATTTAACAAGGCCTATGCAATCAGATGTCCCAAAAAGACTTAACAACTCTTTAAGGAATTTCATTAATCAGACAGCCTAACTACAGACACAAAAGCTGTCATTTAAAAATATTAATAAGTGGATATGCAGGACATGCATACACGTTATGTCCGTAAAATACCTTTCGAACCCAGATATCACCTTGTTAAGGTAGGTGTGACATCATAACTCCACATAGCTTGCACACAGGGCAAAGCAAAGGGAGGGACAAAGCAGATCCTCCTGCTAGTCTACCTGTAGACTAGTCAACAGTGACTGTTCTTATTGCAGGAAATTGCTGAACAAAGGAAAAGTTCTGATTTTGTTTATTGCTTATTTTGTTTTATTGCTGGATTACCGCACAGATCTGGAGGAAATATGCAAAAGATGCACATATTACAGTAAGAATACACATGGAAAAAAAGAAGAAACCACACAACTAGTAGCAGCAAACACAAACTAGAAAAAATCCCAACTAGTGTATGCAAATAAACAGTGTTGTGCTCAAATGTGAAAACAACCACATACTGTATTAAATAAACAAAATAGCATTCAATTTTAAAAGCAGTGATAAATCAATTTAGCATCAAGAAAACACCCCGTCCAAGATCTGATAATCAAAAGGTCAATATTAATATCCAAGTGCTGCCAACACCAACCGGATACCCAAGGTGATATAAGGATGGTTCCTTACAGACTCTCCTTGACAATAAAAAAATAGTTTAAGGGTGCTTGTATGATGTTTCAAGGTGTTTCACTCCCTTCCAGGGACCATTTCAATGGGAATCAGGAACTCTGTCACCCATGCACATACACTATACTGCCAAAAGTATTGGGACACTCCTCCAAATCACTGTATTCAGGTGTTCCAATCACCTCCATGGCCACAGGTGTAAAAAATCAAGCACCTAGGCATGCAGACTGCTTCTACAAACATTTGTGAAAGAATGGGTTGCTCTCAGGAGTTCAGTGAATTCAAGCATGGTACCGTGATAGGTTGGCAGCTGTGCAATAAGTTATTCCATGAAATTTCTTTGCTACTAAATATTCCACAGTCAACTGTTAGTTGTATTATACCAAAGTGGAAGCAACTGGGAACAACAGCAACTCAGCCACGAAGTGGTAGACCACGTAAGATGACAGAGCGTGGTCAGCGCATGCTGAAGTGCACAGTGAGCAGAAGTCACCAATTGTCTACAAAGTCAACAGCTAAAGACCTCCAAACTTCGTGTGGCCTTCAAATTAGCACAACAGTGCATAGAGAGCTTCATGGAATGGGATTCCATGGTCGAGCAGCTGCATCCAAGCCTTACATCACCAAGTGCAATCCAAAGCTTTGGATGCAGTGGTGTAAAGTACGCTACCACTCGACTCTAGAGAATTGGAGACATGTTCTCTGGAGTGACAAATCACGCTTCTCTGTCTGGCAATCCGATGGACTTGTCTGGGTCTGGTGGTTGCCAGGAGAACGATACTTGCCTGATTGCATTGTGCCAAGTGTAAAGTTTGGTGGAGGGAGATTATGGTGTGAGGTTGTCTTTCAGGGGTTGGGCTTGGCCTCTTAGTTTCAGTGAAGGGAACTCTTAGGGTGTCAGCATCCCAAGATATTTTAGAGATTTTCATGCTCCCAACTTTGTGAGAACAGTTTGGAGATGGCTTCTTCCTGTTCCAACATGCACACCAGTACACAAAGCAAGGGTTATAAACACATGGATGAGCGAGTTTTCGATGGAGGAACTTGACTGGCCTACACAGATCCCTGACCTCGACCCGATAGAACACCTTTGGGATGAATTAGAGTGAAGACTGCAAGCCAGGCCTTCTCATCCAACATCAGTGCCTGACCTCACAAATGCACTTCTGGAACAATGGTCAAACATTCCCATAGACACACTCCTAAATCTTGAGGACAGCCTTCCCAGAAGAGTAAAAGCTGTTATAGCTGCAAAGGGCGGGCCAACTCAATATTGAACCCTATGGACTAAGACTGGGATGCCATTAAAGTTCATGTGCGTGTAAAGGCAGGAGTCCCAATACTTTTGGAAATATAGTGTATGTCATTAGGCAACGTATAAAAGAGAAAGCCTCTCCATAGTGCAAAAATCTTTTAAAATGCTATTATAATCAAAGTATTGTACTCACTTGATAAAAGGTACATGCGCATGTGAACAAACAGACCGGGCCAGTATCAAAGAACACTTAGAATACACATACTTCTTGTATTTAAACAACATTTGATTAGCCTATAGTTTAGCTGTAAACAGGGGCGGACTGACAACTCATGGGGCCCCCGGGCTATGAAAAAGGTACCGGGGCATCTCATGGGGCCCCCTACTGACCCC